AACAAGACGTGTATCACCCTGGTTACTAAAAGTCAATGTAAACAAGACGTGTATCACCCTGGTTACTAAAAGTCAATGTAAACAAGACGTGTATCACCCTGGTTACTAAAAGTCAATGTAAACAAGACGTGTATCACCATGGTCCAAAGGGTCCGGAATGGGCAACCGCTACAAAATCAGGTAACAGAGATATCCATGGAAAATTTTTGTTTGCATTGACCCTTTTAGAGCAGCTGGACCTTTGGTTTTTCCACACACACTCATTTCCCTAGATACATGTTAAAACACACCATTTAACCATTGTGACAAGAATATATTCATTGTGAGATATCAATCTACTACATTCTATTCATTGTGAGATATCAATCTACTACATTCTATTCATTGTGAGATATTAATCCACTACAACTGTGTTTAAGGAGTTGAAGTCAGAAGCCACTTTGACACTGAAAACCTGTTTATTCAAAGCGGGGGCTCTGAAATTGCCTTTTGGCTCTTTTCCCATTTGACCAAAAAGGTGAGTCTAACCCCCTGCTGGCACGCTGCATGGCCACCGTCCCCCACCCCTATCCCCCAACAAACAGCTTTTAGCGGCAGTAGGAACAGCTCGCTGAAGCCTGTCTTCCTTGGTCAAACAACGTTGCTTGCTGATCAGATAATGCCAGGGACACCCAAGGTCAGATGAGGACAGGAACCTCCCTTTAGTTCAAGGCCCAGTCTCTTGTGTCAACATTTTATTGGAAAAACTATAGCAGAGCTCATTATAGCCATATAAGGATTCCCAGGCCTCCTGTGAGATATTTAATGTGTGACAGCTGAGAGTTCAGTTAGAACAAGCTGAATATTATCAGAAGTCATCCTGACTGGATGAAAACCACCAATCTCCTTCTCATATTATCTGCACTATCCACAGATCAACATCTGGGTTAAGGGTCTTGATTTTCTAAATAAAGAAGCTGTGAACCCGTAAATAATGTTAACACTCATAGGTATGTATTTACACTCCAGCAATGCTGTGAGGAAGCATAGCTGTTTTAAAAATCCAGTCTGCAATCAAAGTCTGCATTTCTTTAACCATCTCTGCCCATTTTTTTTTTTTTTTTTTTGCAGGAAAAACTGAAGCATTAGTGGAAGGCGGTCCAAGGAGCTCTGAGCAGGCCATAAAAAGACACCCACTAAGGACAGCTGTTTGAAAGTACATTTTTCTATGAAAATGAAAACTTGCCTATTAAATAAGAAGCCCTCGGACATTAATTATCATCAGCATGTTGAAAATCTTGCAGAGAACCAATACATTTAGCAGTTTAAAACTACCAACAAGTGATTCATTATTTGAAAAGGAAAACCATTAAAAAGATTATCTTTGTTTTTTTTATATTTCATTTTATATACATTAAGGATCACGTCACAATAATAGTGAAAATCCTCTCGTGGCTCCCAGTTTGGTGAACCCTGACCTGGACAAAACGAAATATCTCCACATTTTTGTCTCTGCAGTTCCTATATTGACATATAAACCTGTGCAATGCCAGAGGGACACATTAAATGTAAACAAACCAGGCTTGAGCAACAAATGTACAAGACAATAAATTGTAAAAGTCAGAAAGTTTGAGTTATTTCTCTTAATTTTTTGTGATTGTTTCAGTCCATTTGTTTAATAAATATCGAATCTGTTATATAAGCTATTCAAGACAAACATGAATTTTTTTTTAAGCACAGGATGTTACATAATTGAGTTTCATTTCTTCTTGATGATCATTTTTAAAGCAAGGCCAATGCTGCCACCACGAGGCCTTTGGGGGAACAGCACATATTTAACTGCTGAGCAGTAAAAAACAAAAAACCAACCTGGAATCAAAAAAGGTCCCATCCAGCAGACTGCCATTGTAGTGATAACGTACAAAGTCCCCTGCCACCGTCTTCCTCGTACAGGACTCAGGAACGATTTGATTAGTGATTGTGATTCCATCTCTGGGGTTATGAAGGTCCAACAGAACCACATCAAATACCAGAGACGCCTGACCTGGGATGTCGCTACCTGAGGGTGAAGATGATGAAAACCACAGATGTAGTATTAGAGAAATGCTCGTGTTCAGACATTGCTATTGGCAACTAACTACCGGTACTAAAGTTATTTTCATCCAATACAGAGACAACAAACAAGCAAATATATGACATTTACTGTTAATTCTAATGGTAATATGATTACAATTTGAAACAGCCACCCACATAGGTAATCTGTGTAGCTTCAGCATTTTGTGGGACAAAGGGAGAAGTACTAAAACTACTAAAAAATAAATAAAAATACTTTTTTCAAAAATATTTCCAAAGGTATAACGATCCTTAAATATTTAAAAGCTTGAGAAAATAATTCAGGCATGTTAAGACAAAAAGTGAAGCACCAGTTCTTCTGTTATTCTTCTGTTCCTCTTGAACTGTTCATGTAGTTTTATTTATGCTTTTCATTCATTCATAAGTTGTTTCTAAATGTGAGAATTTAAATTGCTCTTGAAAGCTTGAGCTTGGTTCTTGTTTCAGGACGGATTTATTCTGTAGCCTGCTTCTCTTCAGATGTTTCACTGCAGTGAGAGGTTTTCATGATGGTACAGTATCTCCAGTTTTGCAGGAGTCATAATGGATTTCGAAAAACTCTACTCTCAGCTTTTGGGGAACCAAAGAGCAGCCATCTTCAATAAGGCCCCTGAAACTCTAGGGGCCTCTCAAGGGGGTTGTTGCTTAAAAAAAATATACCAGTTCATATAAAAAAAATCAAATGCTTGTCTTTTTTGCAGTTTTAGATTTTAATCTGAGGCCCCGTCCACACTAAGTCAAAACGAACACGAAACGCTGATATTTTCCAAAACGTCTGCCGTAAAGACGGAGACGTAAAATAAATGTGAGCGTCCACACGAATGCATTAAAACTATGCAAAATGTATGCCAGGCCTGTAAGTGGCGCTGTGGTGCCAAAGCAAAAATAAGCGACGAAATGTTGGGCATGCGCACTAATATTTATACATGGTTGCCCTGCGGGTCCATTTTCGTGGTTAAGTCAAATTCAGGTGCTGAACTATGTGGTCGATATTGCTCTGTTCTTCCTGGAGATATTCCAGAAGAAGAAGATTCTGTTGTAAGCCCGACAGCAGGGTGAGTAGCATTAGCAGCAACGACGCCATTGTTGTTGTGATGTGTCCCGCATGCGTGTTTAGAGGCGACGCTATGACGCATGCGTGTAAAAAAAAATATGAGGTTAGAGCGTAAAGATGGAAACGCGAAAACGGCGTTTCGAAATCTTCTCACTCTGAAGGCTGAATAAAAAAACGATCGTTTACAGACCCCCGAAACGCCGGCTTCGTGTGGATGAGAGGCTGGTTTGGTGAAAAATTTGTGCGTTTAGGCCAGGGTTCGTCTTCGTGTGGACGGGGCCTGAAAGTGAATCCCACTGTGAAAATTTGTTTTTGCATTGACTCACAAATGAAGGTTAAAAAAGTCTCTGATAAAAATCATTCAATTTCTTTTCTTTTATTAAACTTTATTGATCTCGCATTGGAGAAATTTACCTCTGCATTCAACCCATCCCCTTGTGGAGCAGTGGGCTGCCATTTTGCTGTGCTCAGAGACCCAGAGTGGCAGTCTGTGGGAGTTGGGCTTGAACTCAGAGCCTCAGTATTCCAAGCTCTATGCCCTAACCTCTAGTCCACCACTCGTCCCAGATATTATATAATGTAAAAGTATATTTAAAGGTTCTTAGGATATAAAAAATTTTGTTAGACATTTTGGAAGCCTTCGTGTACGAAACATAGCAGACTTGAACATTATTTCAGCATTAAATTGACTTCTAAAGGCCGTTTAATCCTGATTAACATAACTATGCAGGTTTTGGATGAATGCATCCGCAATCAAGACAATTTCTCTGATTTTATCTAATTTAAGTAAATAATGCAGCTAAAGCATATTTGGCCCATTCAGGTGTGCATGCATTGAACTGCTAAGGAGCCTGAAAGATTAATGTCTTAAAAAAAAAAAAAAAATGTACCGGTATAACCATATTTCTAAAGACTTATCCAAGGCAACATTTTGATTTGGATTACAATAGTCCAATTTAGATTTAAATTCGTAAAAAAAGAAAACCCAAAGAAAATTTTATTGAGAAAGCTACAAACACCAACCGTCTCCATTCTCTCCATAGCCGAGGGAGGGAGGCATGGTGATGATGCGGCGCTCCCCAACACACATTCCCAGAAGTCCCTGATCCATGCCGGCGATCAGCCACCCGATCCCAACATAGGTGTCATAGGTACGCATGCGAGTGTGGCTGTGACACAGAATGAAGAACATTGGGTTGTTACTTCATATTTTAGCAGTTGGTTAAATGAGTGGTGATGCACGCCAAACCTGGAGTCAAAGAGTGTCCCGTCCAGCAGGGTTCCGTTGTAGTGATAACGCACAAAGTCGGAAACCTCCACCTTCCTGGAGCAGTTGGAGGGAGTGTAGTAGGTGTTGATCTGGACGCCATCCTCGGGGTTCCACACGTCCAGCAGTAGAACATCGAAGTGGAGGATGGAATCAGCTGGAATAATGTCGCCTGGGGCGGAGAACAGTTTATACAGTTTATAATTTGTCAAAGAAATACAGTCTGTTTTAAAACTCAAAGCAGTAGTTTTCATTTATTTGACTACCAGGTGTTTTTAATTCGTTAACTTAGATCATAGGTACCAGCAGGAGATAATCACAACCTGTATTTCAGTGTGCCAGAAACTATTTGCATTATAAGGGGATTTTAAACATGGTCCATATGAATGATATGCAAACAGAGATGCTGATAATTCTCCATTTGTGTCAATTTCCCCTCCTACGAGACTTTTTAGGTTATTATTTTTATTCCCAGTAAAAATGATGCCTCCAATAATCTTAGCTCCAAGAAAAGTAAAATACAAAAACTGCATAGCGTGCACCTCTGTTTTTGATTCAGCATTTAAAAGGCTGAGACAAAATACTAGCATCATGCACCAAAGACGTATTTACCCTCTGTGGATGTGTTCTGATCATCAAACAAATTATATTAGACAAAGATAGCTTTAGAAAAAACTAATAGCAATTCAAAGTTGAACAGTTCAGGTAATAAAGGAAGAAAGCCTGCTGAAGCAAACCACCAGCTTAAAGCAATCCCTACAACACAGCCGGTGCAACAACATGAAGTAGGCTAAACATCTCCCTCTCATTCTGATATTCTGGTGTAGAATTTATTTCCTTTTCCAGGTATACCTGGCATGAATAACCAGCTGGGTAAAAATGTGGTCGATTTGAGCAATGCATCTATAATGGTGTGGCAATAAACAAATATTGCTGAGGAGTCTAAGAAATTGGGCTTTTTATAAGGAGGAGTGGAGTTAAAGGGGTCATCCCTTAAACAAAGCTAACAATATTTAGGAGGACTCCTTTCTGAGGTTGAAATTCTAGAGATCTTTGTAGTGTCCCCCGCTCTTCTCTCTCTCTTTTTCCATCTCTTTTCTGATTGAGGTCACTAGACTAGAGCCACAACAAAATCTTCAATGTAATAATTTAAAAATCAATATCTCTAATGCTTATTTTAGACAAAAATTGGGTTTAAAATTGTTTATTTTTAAAAGAATCTCGCCCTTTTCACCCCCCTGTGCGTGACGAACCATAGAAGGGCTAAATCTTTAATCTGGCATCTAACAAAGGGATTCTGCATGGTTTCTCAGCCACTCAGGAGAACAATGGACAATACAAATTTGCATGGCAGAGCTGGGGAATAAAGCGTCTTTTTAAGGTCATTTATTTGAGAACCTGAGAGAGTCGTTTCCCTAAACAAAACCACCTTTTATCTCCTGCAGTTTGACGAATCATGGTTGTCTCTATTAGGAAGACGTCACATTGCCCTGTCTATTAGTCGGTAGGTGTCTTTAAACCTTTGCTATTGAGCCGGCACTTCTGGAAATATCTTTTAACTACTGAAAAATGTGTTTCTTCCTCTCCTTTGTCTCTGACTAGCAGCCCCAGGTCTAACATGCTCAAACATGCCCCCACCCTCCTCTTCACCCCTTCATGCCACATGCAAATGGAAATGCAGTCTGCACGTATAAGCACTCCTTTATAATGGTAATTGTAAGCAGGTAAGGTCACAAAAGCTCTTCAGCCTGACCAACGAGTCAGCTGATTGGTTACAAACACAGCTGGAGAGCGCGTCTACATGAAGCTGATCACCCAAGACTTGTTTTTAGGCTGCCTCATGTCAGCTTCCTGATCTGTGATCACTCTCTAACATCCCTTTGTGTAGATGTTAAGCAGCCCACTTCTTCTGCCCTCAAAAAACTGTGAAACAAAAGCCTTGCAACAGCAGCTTTAGTGTTATGATCCAGCGGTAGATTAATTGTGAGCTGCACCAGTATTGTGCATTTGAAGGTTATTTTAATTGCAGAACTTTAGATTGAACATGAAATGATGGTGAACTCCAAAGTAATCCAAAAGTCTATGAACAACTCATCCTGAAGGTCACAAAAGATCCCAAAAGGACATATGGAGCTCTGCAGGCCTCAATTCCTTAACTGTGTTTTCATGGTTTAACAAAAATCCTAGAAAACCTCCCTGAGAACACAGACAGCCACCAAGAAGCAGATTTTGCCCCATATTGTGACACATATATAGCTAAAACTCACGCATAATATGAATCATGGAGAAATGGTAATGAATTGTTACTTGATATGAGGTGCACCTTTGGTCAAAATTTCCTTAAAATCCATCAGTAAGGAGCAGCTTGTGTCTGAAGCCTCTGGTGTTTGTTCTGCTCTCTCCTTCTTCATTCACTCTGTTTTATCAGCAGTTTGAGACTTCGAGCTTTTTTAAACTTGAAAGGGCTAGTCTTTAAAAAAAATCCTCCTCCTTTAAAATGCTAAAACTTGTCTGTGAATAATGTATCATATTCTGGTATTTGCAAGTTTTTTACCATCTTAAAAACATTATTTTCACTTCCAGCAGGAAAACAAGATCCTTAGTGAACTTCAATTGGGGATCTCAGTGCAACAGCCCGCCGCTTTGCAGTGATCTGCCGCCTGAAAAAACTACAGAATATTTAAAGGTAGGTTTATAATCCTGGTAAACTGATGGCAATTTTTAATTGGGGTTTGCGGAGTCTGAAGTTCCAAAAAAATCAACCAACAATTTTAAAACCTTGCCTTGTAAAATTAGCCTTAAATGAAATAGACATCTTTATTCGGAAATTTGTAAAATAATTTGGGGTAGCAAGAGGGAGTGAAACTTTATTTATTTTGCTAAATCACCAGTAAAAGTAACCTTTTAATTAAAAGGGGTCAGGTCAAAGCCTGGGGGGAATGACCTTAAACAGGCTGTTTATTAACAATAACATTTATTCCTGGTGGAAAATAGAAAAAGAACATATTAGCAAAGAAGAGTTGGAAAAAATTCCTCAGGGAGACAGGGGTGGAGCTAGGGAGGGCCATGGCCCCTCCTTGGACACCCCACTAAGGGATTTATTGTTCTAGTATGGATGTAAACCAACAAAAAAAGCAGTTCCCATTTAAACCAGAAGATGGCAGCAGTGATACTCTTGAGTGAAATGTCCTCATTATTTTGACATTTAAATATCAGTATATTAAACACAAATACAGCTATTAATAATTCACATTTATAGGACTAAATCAATATGAAATATTTAAAATTATTTGGACAATATGGATGTTGTGCTCTTTTATTTCCCTGTTGGTGCAGTGTGATTGGTTTAGAAACATGTTTCCCAAAACTTTTTGGCTTCTGACAAAAAAGAACTAGAATAATCCAAAGTATTGGTTGTTCAGTTCAGTTCAGTTCAGTTTATTCGAACAACAAAACAATATAAGATGTGTAAATACAACACAACACAATGAATACATAAACCATAATAAATTGTGGAATGGGACGAAGTATAAACTTTTAAGTTTCCCATCCCTAATAGTTGTTATACAGATATATATATAAAAAAAAGTGTAATATTAATAAATATGTATAATGTTGTTTTCTAAACAATGTTTTTATACCCTTGAACACATAAATATGCTTCATCAGTATATTTTTATGTTTAGTTTGATTTGTGGAGGATCACAAGCCCCCATGATCGCTGATCAGTGACCTCAAGCTGAGATTGCTGATCATCAAGGCAACTTTGGGAATCAGTGGTGTAGATTAACACTGAACAAACTTTGGTGCCTGTCAGGCAGGGAAGGACCATCATAGGAGCCTTCAGCAAAGCCCCGCCACAAAAAACATCAAAATCTTTAGTAACATCATAGGTGCACTCACAGAAATATTTCACCCACATTTTATGATTTATGTTAATTTATTACAAAACATTGCCACTTTTTTATTTTGTTTCAGTTATTTTAATAAAAACCTCTTAAATTTTGCACGATTAATATTCATGAATTTAATATAGCTTATTTATTCAAATACTTGTGAGGTTTTATTTTATTTAGAATTATTAAAATATACTTACTGAAACTGAATCCTAATCAGTGAATTCATTTCAAATACATAAAGTTTACTGTTTGAAATGCATAAAAGTAGCTGGATTGTTAGAAGTGTAAAGCTAATCTTCAGTAACACTGAAATCTTTTTTTTTTAAATGCTGCAGTTAAAATGACACTTTCATATTAACATTTACTTTTTCAGAGGAAATTTCATATTTGTAATGTTTGAATTTTCATAGTCTGAAATTTCAGTGTTTCATTTTTAATGTTTGAATGTTCAGTGTTTGAACAGTTGTCACTGATTTAGTTCCACAGAAAAAAACACTTCTATATAAAGGATCAGGTTGGTTTGGGAACAAGATTAGTTAATATAAATTAATCAGTTGTTTGAGAACTGCATTCATGATTACCTAAATTAATTTTCTCTGGTATTAAAGTGTGTTTATTGAACTGAAACATCTGAGTTTGCAATTGAAGAAACAATCTGTACAACTACACGTACCGTATCCTTTTGACCCATAGGCGAGGTGAGGAGGGATCTTGATCAGGCTCCTTTCATTGACACACATCCCAACCAGAGCTTTGTCCATCCCTTCAATAAGCTGCTTTTTGCCAACAAACACGTTGTAGGTGCTCCCACGATCATAGCTGAAACAACAAAAAGTATTATTTGAAAATGACTCAATAGATATCCTAAAGGGGATCTACATCTGTTGCCCCTAGCAGTGAAGTGTTTTCATCTATATAAAATCTTTAAAGCTCAAGTGTGTAATAATTATATGGATTAACTGATATAAATTTAATATATTAAACATAAGTATGTTGTTTATTCTCATCTACGACCTGAAGTCTTAGATTTTTCTTTGCCTTTCCTTAGAAAATACTGACAAACCAGAGACTGTTACAAGTTAGGCCTATATAAAATCTATATCTTACACAAACAAATAAGTCTATTTATAAAATGATCTCTGTTAACAAACCTAGACATCACTTGTTACAAAAGGTGATGCAGACTTTTAGGGACCATTTTGTACCATGACAGCCTCCGTATTGTTGGAAGAGAAGAAGCAGTTGGGGGAGGGCGTAATGTCTCTGCAGTCTGCAGCCTAACGATGTAACTAATAATTACTCACTGTAGCTTTAAAATTAGCATTAGACCCAAATAAAAAAATAATAGTTTATGCTTATCGTGTTGTTATTTGATCAGAAGACATAGGCTGTGTCAGAACATCCACCCTAACCCCTATAGTTTTAATATTCCATTTAATATGAGTGTCCGTTTGTCTAGTGGATGAAAAAGTAGGGTACTCAAAATTTACACAATCCACCTTTAAAAAATAGTATAAATTGATGGTAGCTACACATGCAGGTATATCCCAGAATGGTTAGCAAGAGCTCTCCTTGCAAAGCATTGTGGGAATTGGTTTGGGGGTGAGAGAGAACAAAAATGGCGTAGGCACTGTACGAGGAGTAACACGACCAACTGGGAGCAAAAGGTAGTGGTCATTTATCTGAGCGGTCAGTAAACTGAGTTCACCATAAAGTCCACCATATAGTGATTAAAGGGTTTGGGTCCACATTTGGTCACAGCTCATAATGTTCTTTAAATCTAGGAAATTATATTTAAACCCAAATATTAAAATAATAAATGAAGGGGAGAAGTGAAGTCAGTATACCCTGATTTAGATATCTGCAGTATAATTCAAATATTTAGAGTCTTTTTTCGTCTTATGCAAGTTTTCCTTGCCTTTAATGACCTGAGTTTTTATTGGTGATCAGAAGATTGGCTCCATCAATATTATGTTTTCTAAAATCCAACCTTACAAATGCATTCATCTCTTCCACATGGAGTCAATTTAGAAGCACAAGCTTCACTACAATCTATTTCACTGTGATATAATGTGGTAAATTATCACTGTTGCATGGTTTTGTACATTGTGTGTTTTTGTCTTATTCAGGCCACTTTTAATAACTCTGAAGTCTCCAAATATTCTCAATTAGTTTGGATCTAGATGTTAAATAGGCCAACACATGAGTATGTTTAATCAAGGTAATTCCATCTATTTCTGGTCTGTCCTCTGTCAGAACGTTAAGTCCTGGCCCACGCCTAAGTTATTTACATCTGTTGATGGTTTGTTTTCCAGGATTATTCATCCGCAGCTCTTACCAGCTTCCCTGAACCTGGTCTATCCAACCAGTAAATTATTATTTGGGGAAGGTGCCAAACACAGCAGTTTACACACTGACCGGCTATAGACAAGCTCCAGATCTGTTAAGTCCAATTGTGTTGCAATTATCTGCAGTTCTACAGGTTAACCAAAGGCCTTTTGGCTGCTTATGAGATAGACAATATTTATGCCTAACTAGTCAGACTGGGTTGATGGATCGTTTTGACTGTTTGTACAATATTCTTTTAATTCCATAATAAGGGACTAACTGGAAGAACCTTTAGATTTCCAATAATTAGATTTTTAATTTGTTATCTCTGATTTTAACCTTTTTAAAATGTTAACCCCAACCTGTCTGCTGTGTTCCTTGGTCATCATGATGCTCTATTTGAGGCGTTACAGACCAGTTCAATCGTCTTTTTACTGATTAGGGGACTGAAGTCAGTTTAATACACTGACTTCAGAATGTATTTAAAGAAGGGGGTGAAAATGCATTGCATATTTTCATATTGTATATCAGTGCAGAGGTTTGAGCAGAATACATAATTTTGCTTCCACTTTACTATTAAGCCAAACTGTGTTCTAGCCCATAAAATCCAAATAAAATACATTTAAAGGTGTGGTTGTAAGATGATAAAGGGTGAAAAAGCCTGAAATAACTATACCCTTAGCCAAAAGTAGTATACTTGAAGTAAATTCTATTAAGAATACTTAAGTATAAGTTTAGAAAGTATACCGAACAATGTACTTTTAGTGTACTTGAAGTATTACTAAAGTAATACTTTTTTCGAACCAAAATGGGACATTTTTAAGTTACTAAATTACACTTAAAGTATACTTTAGTAAACAATAAAGTAAACAATAGTAATAGTAGTAATATAGTTTAGAATAAGTAAACTGTAAGTGCACTGCCTGATTAAAAGTGTGAAATTAGTGCACTTTTAGTATACTTGAATAAACTACTTTTTGCTAAGAGTATATAGGATTGCAAGAATCTATTTCCTGATTTCAGTAGAGCTCTCATCACATCAGGTTATCATCTAGAAGAACTGTGGAGCAGACTACCTACTCTGCCTGCGTGGCTTGCCAGGATGAACCAAAACGCGCACTTTTACGCATCACGCACGCTGTTTGCACTGTGCATCTCCTCTACACAGCTTGAATGAAGAAAAACTGGTTGATAAAAGAGAGAGAGAAAAGAACTGACCTTGAATCAAACTTTTTCCCGTCAGGAAACGTGCCAATGTAGTGATACCTGACAAAGTCTCCCACTTTGACTGCGCGCACACATTGTTCTGGCACGAAGGTTTTCTCAATGAGGATGTCTTCTAACGGGACCGGAGGAGCGTTACAGGCGGCGAACGTCACCAGGAGCGACAAAGACAACATCCCCAGCGCACACTTGATCATTTTACCCCTCCACTAAACTTTCCTGCAATGGGAAACAACTGTTCTTTCGCCTTTAAATCTATCTACATTGGTTACAACCTGCTCCCGCTGTACCTTGGTTTTCTTTACTACTCTGACTTGGGAAGAAGTCCTCCCCTTGGTCCAGCGCAGGAAGGTCAAGCTGCCTAAAACACTAAACACATCCGGTAAAGATCCGCTCGTCAACTCCTCACCTGCTCCCTTAAATACGTATTTTTACGCATGAACCGAAAGAGATTAAACCTTATCATTTTGCACACATATAACCCTTTGCGTGCAAACTTACACTTTAACAAAAACAAATCTTAACAGGAGGGTCTCGGCTCTTAATTTGAAATCTCAAATATCATTTCCTGTATGGTTTCACATAATTTGCGTAAACTTGATGCCTTCAGGAAGAAGTGGGAAAGTTTGGGCTCCACGTATTGCTCCTGCGCAGTGCAACTGCAAAAAAACATGCCAACGTGGTACAGCAGGGGTCTCTGCAATACAGAGAGGCACATCCTCTGCCTGCAGGCACAATTAAACCAAACAAAAAATAAACAGAACTGCAGCTACCCTTCATTTATTCAGAGGTTAAGACAGTAGGATGTGGTGGATTTTAGGTTGGATTATGTATTTTATGGGATGCTCTGGCCTTTTTGAGGGGGAGGCAGACCAAGCTAGAAATGTTCCTACGTGGCAGTGGGTGTGGGAGGGACACCCCCCACCAGGGGTTTTATTTGAAGTAAGAGGGAAAAGACTGGATCAAACGTCTAAATGCAGCTTGTTCCTCTAAAAAGTAAAAAAAAGGACGTTATTGTTTAACTTCTAAAGGCATCACAGAGAATCCCCAGCTTCTTCTTTATAAGAGAACATCACAATTAGGTGCAAAAAGTCTCTGTTTTTTAGCATTTAACTTAGAATTATACAAGAGCAGAAATCAGTACTGATCTGCAGTGATTTCATGGGAGGAGCGGCTCAATATGGCAAGCCGTTTTGGAAATATTTGATGTCCAAGTATTCATGTCTAAAGTGCGTAATTTGGGGTGGAGTCTAACCCATAAACTCATCCAAATGTAACTCTTCTTCCCACAGCTCAGATTCTGATGTTCCTTGTATGGCATTTTCACCATCAGTTAGAACAAGCCTTAAAGCCCTAGTCGTTTACAAGCATGTAGTAGCCTACATTGGAAAAAAACAACAAAAAATTGATTATTATTTTTAAAAGTATACAATACAATACGTCTATATGATATCACATAAGTTTGCAGGTCAACTCAGGTCTGATCTTACTACTGTATAACAATCTAAGCTGAGATGCATGAAAGCGATTTTAACCTGGGTCGCTTGCCGAGTTATTTGATCAGGGTCGACCTGGGTCAGTGAGCTGTTCCCACTGCCACTAAAAGTCGTTTGTTCCCAGGTTTAAATGGGTTTTTTGGCCAGTGGGGAAGGGGTACAAGTGTAAGAAAACAATGAAATGATGGAACAAACTTTATAAGTAACTTATAATAAGTTAAAATAGGGCAGCAACACAGTGTCGAAGTGGTGATAATGGTAATACTGCAAATAAAACTACCACAAATAATCAGAACAAAAGAAATCTTAGTGATCATAGCAATGGTTTTACCACATTGTTTTGTCTGTTGTAGTTCCTAGAAAAACAATTTCCCTGAGGTTCCAATCAAAGGGATAAATAATCTGAATCTGGTTTTGAGTAATTTTCAAGAAACCACTGAAAGTTACCTTTTAGTTCATTAAGAGTGATCAATAATTTATAATAATAATAATATATGTTTTTAATCAGTAGATGTTACATCTTTATTCCAATTATTGGTGGCTCTAGACAGGGGCCAACAGGGGCCAGTGCCCCCCGTAGATCATGTCCTGGCCCCTGTTATGGCCCCTGTACTGAAGACATAACACTCTAATGATGAAATGCACAGGAACAGACATGGTTACTGATAGGTCCTTTGGATCTATTTAATTTTTTTTCTTTACAAATTCAGTTTTACTAATTATTTAAAAACAAGAGAAATAGAATAAAAATAGCCGAATTTATCCGGGTTTTTCTTCTTTGTTCTAATTCAGATTTTATAGAAAACTGTAACTTTATCTTAAATTAAGTCAAAGATATGTAAAATTCCTAAATGATGAATGTATATTGATCTAATAAGACATTTTTTTATTTTAATGTAATCTTTTTAAATATAAATTTCACTTTTTGCTGTTTTATTGATATATTTGAATCCCTTGGCCTGTTTTTCATTTCATGAAAACACGCGGGCCCCCTCGTGGCATTTAGATTGAAACCCCTTATCAAACAAATCTGTACATTAGAGTCTAAGAACTAAATTTTATTTTTATTATTTTTATTTTTTTTTTACATCAGGTGAGAAGATTAAATAAAAATGGTTGCTTTTCCAAATACGGGTAGTGCAAATCTTTTTAAGGCAATCAGCTTCCTCTGATGTAGATTATTTAGACATATGGCTTGCCATACAGGCCCCCTCCGTGCTGGACCCTTTGAGCGATCCTGGGTCCTGGGGAGGTTCCAGGCTTTGTCCGGATACGTGGAGAAACGTCAGGGATCAACTCCTCCAACACTAACTTTTTTTTTTTTTTTTTTTTTTTTTTCATAGCAAACATGGCTTCCTCCACTTCTTCTCTCCTCTTCTCTCTATGTCTGCTCTGCTTCTTCCTCTCAGGAACCAACTGTCAGTATGAAAAGTACAGCTTCAGGAGTTTTCCCAGACATGAGCTGATGCCTCTGGAGTCTGCCTACAAATACGGGCTGGATCAGTACACGGCTGAGAAGTGGAAGGACACGGTGGAGTACCTGGAGGTGTCGCTGCGGCTCTACCGGCTGCTGCGGGACAGCGAGGCCTTCTGCAACCTCAACTGCAGCTCGGTGCGGCTGGACGACGAGCAGAAGTTTGCGGACTTTCCAGAACTGCGGGCGTTCGGGAACGTGATGAAGAGGGCGCAGTGTCTGAAGCGCTGCAAGCAGGGGCTGCCTGCTTTCAGACAGAGCTTACCCAGCAGGGAAACCATCGACGAGTTCGAGCGGAGAGAGCCCTACAAATACCTGCAGTATGCTTACTTTAAAGTAAGACACGAGCCAGAGTAGGAATTTATGTTTTATGAAAGAGTTTCCCTCTATTTCTTGGAAAAGTATGGGAAATTGAAAAAAAAAAATCATCAGCTTAATTAATATTCTATAATCAATTTACCTTGGGCTTCACAGTAGAACAGTGAGTAGCTTTGCTGCCTTGCAGCAAGAAGTTTTTGGGTTTGATCTCTTTCTGCATGGAGTTTCTCCCTGTGCATCTATGGGTTCTCTCTGGGTACTCCAGATTCCTCCCCAAGGGTGTAACTTTGTGATGGAAGTTGGTAGGGACACTCTTAGGGTGGTGGCTGATGGACCTACATTTACTCCACATAAACTCTTTCAATAGGGTTTGTATTTTCCAAAAATGAGCTCAGACATATATTAATTGAATTAATTGCTTTCCTATTGTTGAGAACACAAAATACCCAAAATACACTGACATTTATATCTATAGATAGACGTTAATGTATATAAAAAAAGGATGAATGACAGCCGATTCCGATGCAAACAGCAATATATCATGCCTCCCATATGCACACAATTTCAGTTTCATTCGTCCATCCATCCAGAAAAATGTGGATTGATTGATAGATATTTTTCCTTTCAGCTACATTAGAGATTATCCTCTTTCAAAAGCAGCAACATAAAATTTAGAAATTTGTCCCACATATTGCCAAAGTCTATGTATTGAAATTATTGGTGGGGACCAGGCCAAAGTTGGTGGGGGACATTGCCCATTGGACATAGGCACCAGCACCCCTCATGACCCATGACCCCCAAGTGTGACGGAAAATGGATGGATGAATAATTTACCATGTTTTAGTGCATCCCTTCACTGATGCTTCCTTGATTAACTATCCATTTCTGGCCCATTTCTGTAAGTTTTAGGGTATTCTGTTAAAAGTGCCAAAGATTACCCTTTTTATTTTGTTGGCACATGGTGTTAAATTATTTAAATGTCCCGATATCAAGAGTCCATAATGCCACATGTTCTGATCATGGTCCTTTTTGGAAAAGGTTCAGTTCCACAGTATAACAGGTCCTTAATCTAAACCTAACAGTGCTCAAAGTGGGCCAACGTACCAGCCTAATTTAACAATTACATTCCAGTTAAAGTCCAGTCAAGTTTAGCAAATTTTGCATGATTTCATTTATGACTATGCAACAGAAAAGTCTTAATTAATTAATTAGCACTGTGGTGTTTTATTTATTTTTTTGTCTAAAAACAGAATAATTGAATAGATCTAATCTTTATTTGTTATTACATCTTTCTGTGTGACAGTCTAACAACCTGGCCAAAGCTGTGTCTGCGGCTCACACCTTCCTGCTGAAACATCCCAATGACGAGATGATGCAGAGAAACATGGCTTATTACAAGAGTCTGCCTGGGGCTGAAGAACATCTGAAAGATCTTGAGACTAAATCCTATGAGGTAACAAAGCAAAGATGCATTAATATTCACTGTCCTGCTGCATGTTTCCAAATGATCTCCATAAAAAATGCGTCCAAAATCACTTTTTTATAGTGTTTTCACTCAGGGTCGTCAAATAAGCAACAGAGCTGCTTTAGTTTTATGGAAAAAAAATATAAACTCCGGGACATGTTGACTTAATTAATGATGTCTGCTTCGTTTTTATATGAGCAAAGGAAATATTACCTGGACGATTGCAGGTGTTAGTTTATCTTCTCCACCAATGACGACAAAACATTGTAGTGCTTTTTTATGCTAAGGGTTGCTGGAAGCGCCTAGTGCTGAAACAGATTAATCGGGATTAACCTATTATTGAAATAATCGTCAACTAATTTAGTAATCGATTAATTGTTAACTGTAGTATAGAGACTAAAATATGCCTTTAGCTGACAGAGCAACCCACTTAAAGCAGCAATTATAACACAACTGTAAAAAAAGATAAAATAAACTTTTTCTCCTGTCGATTTGCTCTTATTAATCAATAAAATAATTGATTTGAAAAATAATCATTAGTTACAGCCCTAGAAGTGCTTAACACATCCAAGAACATTTAAGAGAGCATTTTTAGCTGATATTCAGTAATGGTAGGGTAAGTTTATATTTATAATGCATCTTAGTTACAGGAATGTTCAAAGAGCTTTCCATGCAAAAGAAATCACGAAGAAAAGAACTTTGCAGTTTCAATAAGAAACAAAAACATAAAAAAAAAAATGAATAACATTAATAAAATAACAGACACAAAAGCAAAGGCCAAATTCTACAGCTGTGCCTAAAACCAAGGAATGAAGAATGCATTTTTAAAGTTGACAGATGACTGCTGGAAATTTTCTTTGTGTACAGAATTGTTTAATCTGATCTCCTTATATTTGAAGATGAAGCATCTTAAATTTAATGAGGAAATTTTAAATCTTTTAGAAGAACAATAACCTAAAGCTCCCAATGAGCAGAATGCTGGAGAAGGTTAAAAGAAGTAGTTTGTAGTTTGATTAAAAGTTGATCTGAAATCATTATCAGAGACTTTGCCCACATTTAAAGAGTGTTAAAGTATAGTTAACCTTACAATATTTTTTTATGTGGGTTAACCTTTTTTCAATTTATTTAACCATTGTTTAAAAAAACACAATTATCAAAAATTGTTTATAAAAAATCTTTACTTTTTCACCCTTCTGCTGTTGTTAGCTGTGGATGTGGAGCTTTATTTGTTACTTTTTAATTGAATGAATTTTTCACCCTGCACAGCAATTGTTTTTATTGCATTTAATTGTTGTCATTTGTGTTGCTTTTCTTTTGAATTTGAGGAATTGAAATTTTGAACCATAAGCGCCCACACAAGAGCAATACTTTCCTGTTGCATTTTTAACCATTTGTGAAGGTCAGCACTCATCTGCCTTTCTCTGTTGGCTGTTCTCTATTCCTAAAAGCTCTGAGATAATTAAAAATTAAAATGTGCTAAAATTGTGTCAGGTTAGGTGGAGGGTTGAGAGGACCCAAATGCAGAGACTGAAGCTAAAGGTGGAGTTTTGCAGATATATTTATCCAAAAAAGGCAACAGAAGCAAAACTCCAAAAACAGGATCCACAAAAATACAGAAAACTCACTTGAAGGTGAAGAAATGATGACAAACCAGCAAACAGTGACTGAGGAGGAGGTAATTATCTGATTGGGAGCAGGTGTGAACAGAGGAGTCTAGAAGAGAGTTAGGGAAAACGAGACTGAAACAAGAGGGCAAACAAATAGTACCCAAGAACACAAATACAATCAAAAATAGCTAGAATACCACAAAATGGAGAAAAAAAAGCCAATGAAAACTCAAGGATAAAACTTAAACAGAACCAGAACCATGAAAACATTGTTACTTGTGTGGTAGTTTTACCAAATACTGTAATTTTGTTTAACCTTTATATTTGTAATCATTACTGAAGCAAAACCCCAAAATCTGACGTTGTATTTTTTAATTTAGCAAATTTTGACTGCACGCTCATGCACACTCTGTTTAAAAGCTGCTGTTCTCATAGCTCATACAGGCTTACTGTCTCCAAATTTCCACTCTACCCCCACTAAATCCCTCAATCACTATACAGAGCGGGGACTATATAGTGGACTTTATAGTGAACTCAGTTAAATGACCGTGCGGACAGATGATCACGTCTCTTTGCTCCTTGATGGTTACATAAGTCCTCCTCCTTGCGGTGCATGCGCCATCTTTGTTATTAATCGCCGCTGTCAGGTGGTGACAGCCTATGGAGACAGCATTATGGGATACATCTTCCTTTTCTGAGGCCTTTCCTCTTCTCATAAACTTCGTAGACACTTTTTCTCTTAGAACCCTCGGCCATTTTCAAAGATGCACAGAAAAATATAGCTAACTGGGGACAAGCACGTAGGAAGGCCTTCCATAAACATATCACCACAATGATTTACAATTAGGAGGACCACTTATTTAGATGATCCAACCCGAAAAGGTTAATCATCCACTACATCCTTTAATGAGGTAAACTTAATTTAAAGGGCAAAGAAATTCAAGCTGTGTAAATGTTTGTAAAACAAATTTTCACACCAAACAATGAAAATATACCGTAGCATAATATAGAGGTGCTACACAGTCAGTTAGTGTATCAGTTATAAGGACACATATAAGAACAAAATGATTAACTGATTTGGCTCTGAGCTGTGGAAGCCAAAGAAGAGCACTGGTGGCAAAAAAGAAAAAATCCAGATTTTCCAAAAATCATGGCAGGGTTTTAACCTCTTTTTAGGTTTATTTTTGGTTTCTTTGGCTATGTTCACACTGCAGCCTGAAGTAACCCAGATCCGATTTTTTTGGCCCATATGCGACCGACCTGATTCTTACTGTATCTGATGTGTCTGAACAACACAGATCCGATTTTTTCCAATGCGATCCAGGCCACTTGGCTATGTGGTCCTGAATCCGATACGAATCTGAGCTTTTCAAATGCGACCTGTCTCTGAACGGCCAGGTCACATTCATCCAACCTGAACACCATTAATACCCAACAAAGGTCACTATTCTGCTTCTTGCTATGAAGAACCGGCAAGAAAAACAACAACCATGGCAGACGATGATGCGGAGAGCAGTATTTATGTTTAACCATATTGAAAAGATTGAGTTTTTATGGCTGGAAAAGATCGCTAGATGCGCTCTGGCACTACCATCCATGTTTAGGTCCCTAAACACAGAGCACGCTGGCCTGTGATGTCATTGCGTCCTCTACTGCGCATGCGGGACACTTGCATTGTATGACTGCAGTTTACACAGAAGATCACATACAAGTCGCATATATTTGGAAATGTCAACAGTAGCACAAAAAAATCGTATTTCACAAAAATCAGAATTGAGCATCAAGGCCTGCAGTGTGAATGTAGCCTTTGTAATTTTGTGTCTTTGTAGTTGCAGAGTTGTCTTTTTGAGTTACTCTCTGTTGCCCCCTTGTGCCTGTTTCTTTTCCCCTTGTCTCCCTTCTAGTTAGTTCTATTCACACCTGCTCCATATCAGCTCATTAGTCCATTCTTTGTTCTGTTCCCCATATATACACCGCCTCTGCAACTCCCCATTGCTGGTTTGTTGTTGTTTTGTTGTTACTTGGCTTGGTGCATGTGTTTCTACCTGGAATCTTTTACATTTTTGGTCCAGTATTTTGTATTTTGGGATTTTTGCCCCTTTGTCTCTGGATCTTTCATTAAATCAGCAAAACTAATTTCGGCCTCCTCATAAAGTTGGGCCCTCAACCAACCTCCACCAAACCTTGACACTTCATAAACAGAGAATTTGATTAATTGGTTTTAACAGCCCTAGTTACAAGTAATGCTGAATAAATAACATCAATAAATAAATACATTTGAGTAATTTAGAGCAGAACTATTAAACAGAAAGGCTCTTTAAAGTGGAAGCCTTCTGGCCTCTGAAGGTAAGTCACACCCTAACCCACAAATGCTATTATTGGCTCTGTGGGTTTGCTGATGTGGTGGCAGGCCAAAAGAGTCTCTAGAGGGTCATAACCTTCAGTAAACCCAGAAAAACAAAGATCAGAGGAAGATTAATGATTCTTGCTATTTAAAGATACCAAATGGGTTTGTAAAAATGTGAAATCCTTCCTTATTTGCCTAATCATATCATGACTGTTTTATTTTTTCCAGACCTTGTTTGTGCGAGCTGTGAGGGCGTATAATGGTGATAATTTCCGCACATCGGTGTCAGACATGGAGCTGGCACTGAGGGACTTCTTTAAGGTCTACGATGAGTGCCTGGCTGCTTCTGAGGGTCCAAGACACGTCAAAGATTTCAAAGACTTCTACGCCTCTATAGCTGGTTGGTTCATCTCTGTCTGATCTGCATGTAGAACCACTTTAAGCATTTCTCAACTGATTTTTTGTTTTTTAGATCACTACATTGAAGTCCTTGAAAAGAAGGTGATGTGTGAAAGTGACCTAACCCCTGTAGTCGGAGGTTTTGTCGTTGAGAAGTTTGTGGCAACGATGTACCACTACCTGCAGTTCGCCTATTACAAACGTGAGCAGCTGCAGCACACAGGGTTCACTATGTTTACGTTCTGTTAGTGGAAAACCTTTGCTTTGTAACGTTCATGCTTTCTACAGTGAACGATCTAAAGAACGCGGTGCCCTGCGCAGCCAGCTACGTGCTGTTTGATCCCAATGATGAAGTCATGAACAACAATGTGGCCTATTACAAGTTCCACCGAGAAAAGTGGGGGCTGACGGAGGAGGACTTCCTCCCCAGAGCGGTGAGTGACATCCTTCTTTTTATCGTAATCAATCTCTTCAACCTTTGGTGTAATATTTCACTTATATATATATATATTTTTTTTATTTATCCACCCCTAAAGATGTGGATTGACAGAGCTGATAAGTGCTTGTTTTGTCAGTGATGAGCCAGTGGAAAGTTTAGAGCTTCATTTTTATGTTTACTTTTTATGTTTTCATTTTTATTTAGATGCTTTATTTGGTTACATGGACAGACAGATTACATTTTTATTTTGTACATTTATTTTTTCAAAACTAGATGTATGGCAAAAGCTCCGAATCACAGGAAATCTTAACACCAAACAAAGAAAAGAAATAAAGATTCTGTGTTTAAATGTGCAACTGAAGATTATTTTACCAGCAAGTTGTTAAACCTTTATTATGCATCATTGGTAACAAAGAAAAAAAGTAAGATATAATTTATTAGAAGTAGATACAGACATTTTTCCTCTAGGTCTCTCTGCTATTACAGATTTTATTTTCAATGTATAAATGACTTTTTTGCTTTTACTCAAAGATATATTTTTATTTTATTAGATTTTATTTACTGTATCCATGTTTTCAGCAACTTTTTCCTCCTCTATTTCTATTCTATTTCTATCTCTGAAACTAAAATGCATCTTTTTAACCAAACATGTATAATATGATTGATAAGGGGACATTCCTTGCAAACAGATGTCATAATTTTTTTAAGTAATGAGTCTTTCTGCTAACAGTCAGTAGTAGATTAAAATTATATTTTATAAAGAAAAAATTTTGAAAACAAAATAGTAAGAAGGTGGCCAAATTCACCAAAGACAATGTTTTGAAACAATCTGACAGTAAGTCAGCTAAAAATAAGTAAATGTCAAATTCTGAATATTTTATGTCATCAATAAACATTTGTTACACTGATTAAAAAAACAAACATCTATTTATACTAAATGAATAAAAAAGATTAATTATTCTGAAAAAAAAGATTTAATTGTACATTAAATATGGAACATAAAGAATAATTAAAAACGCAGCTCCTGGTTAATATTGCACAACAGGCCATCATGCTGGAATTTTTTTAAAAATTATGTTTTTAATGATTATTGGTTCTTATAGTTTTTAGTACTACATTAACATCATTCCAGCTGATCAAAATAAACCTTCTTGCTGTCATTGAATGTATCGGATACATAAAAGAGTAGTATTTGGTTTTCTTTTTGTGACTTTCAGAAAAGTCTAGATCACCAAAACACTGCATAATTGCAGCATGTATATTTTAATGCTCTGAACTTCCATATCAATGCGTTTTGTTTTTCTCCCACGCTGTTTACATTTGATCACTGCTGCACAAGATATGGAAATGTCATGAGAGCTGTACAAAATCACTCCTTCTAAATTAGATTTCCTTCCTGGATGTTTTGTGACCATCTGTGTGTGTGTATCTGATGCAGGAGGCGGTACGTTACTACAATCAGACCACCATGCAGCTGCAGATGTTGGAGTTTGCAAAGCAGCGTCTTGTGAGCGATGATGAGGTGGGTTTCTTGGTGTTAGTCGATCTTTGGATCCCTTTTGGGACGAAATAATAAAAAAAAAGGTCTGTATTTATTATGAAACAATATGAACAAACCTTTAAAAAAAATGTTAGGACTGGGTTTTTGTTTCTTTTATAGTCTTTCAAGTGTTATTTGTATATAAAAGAGGATTGATTATTTAATAAGTTCACATGACTTCCTGCAGAACAACATGGGCTGTGTTCTCCAGGCTGCAATACCACTAACCAGCATGTGGGGACAGCATCACACTAGGCTGGTTATTTTGAACAGCATTAACTGAAAGGTTTTATATGCTTTATGTTTTTAGATTAATTTAAGCACTAGAAATAAATCACTCTGATAATGAATGTGAGAAATTTAAGGGCCAAATAAGAGGATAAACAATTTGAAATGAAACAGACCCTTTTAATTTGTTTTATTGCATATTTGTTTGTTCACAGGGGGAGGTGGTGGAGTTTATAGACGAGTTTCTGGACGAGGACCAATAGCACACATGGAAAAACTCCAAAATACCAAATCTCAAATGATTAAAACACTCCGATGTTTGTATTTATTTGAATACTTAGAGTTTTTAACTTAAGACGTTTGTCACCTTTAAGCCTCAGTTGTGTTGCTGATTTGTCGTTTTTTTTTACAGAAAATATCCGGTTTCACTGTCTTCTGAATTCATTCCACAATGTGAATCATGGATGGGTTATGTATGATAATAAAATACATTTCTAGAATTGATTTTCTCTGTAATTTATGCGCACAGGTTCAAAGATGTTTCTGGAATGAATGTTGATTCAGTCCATTAAAAGGGGAGAATAACACTGGGACAAATTCAAATCCAAAATATATATTAGCAGCGCAGCCTTTTAGATAAATGCAGAGCAGTTATTTTTAGTATCCATGGTTAAAATAATTACCTTGGTGGATTAATTAATGAATTAATTCTCTGTTCCAGTTCAGGAATTTTTGCTTTCACCTGAGCTTTAATTAAAATTAAAGAAAAAAAGGCAGAAAAGCAGTGGAAAACGTGATACAGAGCTGAGAGGAGGCATTGAGAGAAAACACAGAGTTGGTTATTAATGTTTGAACATTGAGTCTCTGTGTAGTTTGTCTCACAGTGGTGTTAGAAACCCACAGGATCACATTCCTCTTGTGTTACTGTGGGTCTGCATTCTCACCCTGCTCTGTCTCATTTACTGCCTTTCTGTCTTGAATTCTCTCCCCTTTATTGCACAGAAGAGTTTTGATTTATTAAAAGGAGTTGGCTGCAAAATATCACATCTATTGTGGTAATACACGGGTGGTTGCCAGGAATCACATAAAATACAGCTCATAACATAACAGCAAATATTTGTGTAATACAATGTTTATTTTTCCTAAATTTGTCTTAAAGCCTCTTTCCTCCGATGCCCCTAAATATAACCCTCTAACCAATCTTCGGGTTTAAACTAAGTATGAAACAAGCTGCTCATTGATGGCATGAGAGGTTTTTTTGTTGTTGTTGAGAAAATCATACATTTTTTGTGTTTGCAGTTTAGTCGTCAAAGGTACACCAAAATATTGCAAATATTTCTGGTCTGATGAAACTAAAACTATAATAGTTATTTAGATTAAGTTATGTTTATCTGGTAGAATGGCCCATTCAAAGTCCAGACCTCTAGTTGAGAATCTGGTAATACGGTTTAAAATAGAAAGCAAAATAAGATGAATTTCCCCAAAGACAGGCTCTGCAAGGTACAGACTGAAGGATATTTAAAATAAAATCATCCTACACTCTTCAGATTTTCATTCTGAGCAATTTTATTAAAACGATTCACTTCCTTTAACATCTCAATCTATAAAATAAAATATCAATACATTTCAGTTTGTTTCTGTAACGTGACAAGATACGGAAAAAGTCATTCATTCATAACCACACTGTGTTTTTCATTCTAACTGGAATGAGAATCTCAAACACAATTTAAAAACAAAGAATTGTTTTTATGTTTATTGAGACCAAGGAATCACAGGACGTCTTTTATCGCCACAAGAAACTTTTGACTCATCTTTACATTTTGTCATCACCATAAAAAGTTTATTTATTCTTACTTAACAGAAGCAATGACCTGAAATGTCCTATTTTTAATATTATCGTATATAACATTTATTAGTAGTTATAATAGTTATAGTTTATAGCATAAGTGTAATCTTAAAAAAATGTGTTGTATAATTAATTTCTTCGTCTACAACTAGAACAGTATCAATTTAAAAAATTAGATTACTGACTCATGCCAACACAGATTCTGTTGCTTTGTAACGAAAAAATAGTATTTTTTTCTGCAGAATATCTGCATAAGATTAATACAATTACACATATTAAAAGAAGTACATTTTTTTGCCTATGCTGCCATTAATTTCAACCTCAAATGCCAAGAAAAGAAGGGCACCCCTCAATTATTTCAAGGCTAAATGAGAACATCAGGCTGGCACAGAGCTGTGGGATCCAGATAATCCCATCCTTCAGTCCAAAATGTACATACAGCAGATTAAACATGATTATTATGGAGCTTAGAACTGGAAACATATCAGAGGAAACCATTGCTGATGTCATGGGTCTTCCCTCATTAACAGCTCTTACATTAATTGGTTATGTTATACATATATTTAAAAAGTGACTTGTGTACCTAACTAGAAAAGACACATTTATATTATAACCCTATAGCAGGGGTCACCAACATGGTTCCCGTGGGCGCCAAGGGCCCCTCAGCGTCCTCTGAAAACAAATCAACTCACCAGTGGGCTAAGTTTGAAATTTTGATTTGTTTTGTTGTCTTTTTTAATCATTTATAGTAATTTTATTACATGAATCATATCATTTAAGCATTTATAGAGATTTCATTATAGTAATTAATCATATCAATTAATTGTTTATAAAGATTTAGAAATGGCAATATCAAAAAGCAAATTAGACAAGAAAAGAAACAATAAAAGTTTGTTTATTATGCTTGAAGTTTAGATGAACTCTGACCCCTCTAGCTGACAGGTCAGTATTTCACTGCCCTTCCAATGACTCAGTGACCATGAAGCAGCCCTCGGCCTTAAAATACTATGTTAATGTATTCACATTTTAATACTAGAAAAAAGGGTATTTTCTTTTTAAATATGTTTAAAGATATTTGACAAATTACAGCAAGAAATGTGGCTCAACACTATATATGCAGCACACAGACAACTATGTTTACATTTTGATTTGATTTTGTTGTTTTGATTTGTCTGGGATCTAAGTTATTTGTTTAGACTAATATTTTCAATGCATCCACTTAAATATGCATCTGTCAGTGACACCCTGACCATATATATTTTGTAACTCTTGAAAAAAAGGTAGGTATGGTTAAGCTTAAATGTCTGCATTTTGAAGACATCTTTCTTGGGCTGCATCCTCTCTGTGTATGGAAGAGTGAAATGGGTTCTATTCTGGATGATGATGATGATGATGATGATGATGATGATGATGATGATGATGATGATGATGATGATGATGATGATGATGATATGTTCAAGTCTACCAACTATCTGAGCTCCACTTTTATTTTATCCTTGCTTGTCATGTTTGTATTGTGTTAATTGTGTTACTATGACTTAACATTTACCCCTTAAGAATGGGTTTCCCTCTTTTCTTATTTAAAGAAGTAATTAATTCAAATTTTACTTTTGAGTATTGCTTGTCTTGCATTCTTAAGTTAAGTGGAGGGGGGAAAAAATCAGGTCCGTCTGAAATGATAATATGTTTAAAACTATAAAACTTTTCAGAAAGTTTATTAAAACATTAGAATTACACGTGTGTAGGCTGCTATAAAAGATGGGATTATGACTTGCTGATTTATTTACAACCAATAACACTGCATAATATGGTTCTATGCTAAGGTTAAAATAGAAATAATTATTATTTACACTTTATATTATGTTTATGGTAATTTTCAAAGAAGGCTTCTAACAGGATATTGAACCCTAAAGTAATTAATTTCTGTTTTGAAATTGACAAAGCTGGCTAACATTGACTTTTTACAACAGGTCTTTATAGCCTTATCTTAAACAACGCTAATACACATGATCCATACCAGATAAAACTACCAGTTCAAATTAGCTCCTTCTATTCGGATAGGAGGAATAGTCAAACATCCAGGCGTAATAAAGCAGATTATTATTGGCTATAGCAAATGTTTTGTCACAATGTAGCACAGGCAATAAACATTAGTAGGGTTTATGAATATACTCCTGAATTTATGTAGTTTAACCTGTATGGGAAATCTACTTCAAATTTAAACATATTCAGCTAATTGTTGCATTTGACATTTATTAAAGTTGTATGGTCACATAAAACCCTAAAAGAACAATTAATAAAATGTATTTTTGATATCTGAGACTAATGAGCCATTGCTGCACAATTATTTTGAATACATCCTATATGTTTTATAAGCTAGCTATCACAGAGAGTAAAAAAAAAAAAACAGTCACATGATTTGTCTTCTCCATTCTGGATTTACAACATTCAAGGGCTTTCATCTATTCTGACAGAAAACTGCTGCCCTGCAACTTTTAAAAATATCCCTACTGTAACACAACAGGATCAAACATCTACATTATCTCCTCAGGTTCTGCAGAGGCCTGGTGATGAGCCAGTTATTTGATTGATGTGAGTTAGACCAAGCGCTCAACTAAAAGTCACTAGAAAAGTATCTTAAAAGGGCCATTATTGGGACCCCTGCAATAGTCCAGCCATTGCTATCTGCTAATGTTGGTCCTGTTAGTTAATCCTAAAAGAACACCTGGCAACTCCTTTATAACCAGAGACGATTCACTGTGGGAGTTTTAACAAGATTGTCCCAACCAGCCTGATTCAAATGGCTAAAGATTTTTTGTTATACAGGAACAATTATGCGAAATCAGGGAAGAGAAAATGAAACACATCTAAAGTATGTATAAGCAGGAAGCAGATTTGGCGCTCCTGATTTAGAGAAACATGCATCTAGGTACTCCAAACATTAAAAAACAACAACCAAAACTAAGGTAACACAATATTCATTAAAATGTTCACTACCTTTAAAGTTGAAATCCTCACCCAGAATCCTCCTCTTTAGAATTATGGAGGCAAACAGCCGTGTATAATGGTTTCCCTAAAGTCATATATTTTTAGGGGGTTCCAGTTTTAGGCACAGCCCATTTGCATCCAGCTACAAGCAGACATTTAAAAGTAATTGATACTTGTTTTTTTAATCTTTATATAACTGAAGAGTGAGGAACTATTGCATCGTCAACTGTTACCATTCAATAGTTCCTGTTACTATTGGAATATTTTGTATCTAACTCAGCAAAGCTTTTTTTCACAGAAGCAGCACAGAAGCAAAGTGTTCACATCTGCAATAGTGACAAACATGATCAAGAAAACTACATTTCTTCTGCTTATCATCCTTAATCTTTCTGTAACGTTTCTGCTCTTCAGCAATGTCCTTATTCTCCATCTTCTACACTTTCTGCTCCATCTCTATCTGTTGGTTCTGTTTCCCGTTCATCTCATATATTGAACTCTTCTGCTGTCTCCGTCGGAAACACCACAACCCTACTATGACTGCCGTGGCCACGGCGCACACTGCCACAATGATGGCCGCAACCTTCGCCCCTTGACTGGTTGAGCTTGGAGGGTTGGGGGGACAGTCCTCACCCACACATATTGTCTGCCTCTTCTCTCCTTCCATCTCACCCATCTCACCTGGCAGGTTCTCCACAATGTGCTCCTCAATTGCTCCAGGGAAGGGGTCAAGGTCGTGCATCGGAGGAGCTGGGCCATGATCGAGGAAGGGATGACCGGTGAGGTCGTTCAGCCAGGAGTGGGTGGGAGCAGCTTGTTGTGTGCCGTAATCCAGGTAGTCTGAGTATGAGGGGGGGTTTGAATGCTCTACACGGTCAGGTGAGGTAGCTGACACACCTTTTTTCACCTTGCCTTGATCTGATTTAGGGGCTGTAGTGAGGGATTTATCTTCATCTGACAAACTGATGGGAGGAACTTGCTTATGTGTGTCTCCCTTATTGGGTGTATTTGTTGTTTTTACCACACTGGGTCTCATCTGTCTTTTAGTGGAATCAAGCAGATCAACAGGATAACCATCCAGCCAGGTATTTCCTTTGGTCTTATGTCCTTCTTCCTTCTGGGTGATGTTTAGGCGCCGCTCAGCGCCTACAGTAATAATTACATGTGGGTGATCGGTATCGTCTTCACGACTATCGTGATCATCATAGCTCTCCTTGTTTCTGTCTTCAAGATTGTGGAGATCATCTTCATCAAGATCGTAATGCGCTTCTCCATCATCATGATCATCACTTGTTGGATGTTCCTCAGAATTATCAGGGTGTTCTCTATCGTCATCCCTGCGTTCATCATCATGATCCTCTTTACTATGGTGATCGTCATATAGATCATCTCGATCGTCATTCTTCTTGGTGCCATGGTGAGGGGGATTATGGTCATCATCTTCATCCATGTCATAATGGTCATCATGATCATCATCGTCTTTGTGTCGATCAGGTCTATGGTCATCAAAGTCCTCTTCCTGGTGACTGTCTTGATCATCGGGATTGTCAGTGTCCTCATCTTCATGGATATCCAGCTCATCATGGTGGCTGTCATCATGATCATCTTTGTCATGATGATCGTCATGGTCATCATGATCATCGTGATGATCGTCGGGGTCATCCTGATCATCATGATGATCATCATGGTCATCATGATGATCGTCACGGTCATCATGATGATCGTGACGGTCATCATGATCATCGTGATGATCGTCAGGGTCATCATGATCATCGTGATGATCGTCGGGGTCATCCTGATCATCATGATGATCGTCAGGGTCATCGTGATGATCGTCAGGGTCATCCTGATCATCATGATGATCGTCAGGGTCATCATGATGATCGTCAGGGTCATCCTGATCATCATGATGATCGTGATGGTCATCATGATGATCGTCATGGTGATCATGATTATCGGGATGATCATCATGGTCATCATGTTGGTCATCGTGGTCATCATGTTGATCGTCATGGTCATCATGATCATCATGATCATGATCATCGTGATNATCGGGATGATCATCATGGTCATCATGTTGGTCATCGTGGTCATCATGTTGATCGTCATGGTCATCATGATCATCATGATCATGATCATCGTGATGATCATCATGGTCATCATGATGGTCATCATGTTCATCGTCCTGGTCATCATGATCATGACGATGATCATCATGGTCATCATGTTGGTCATCGTGGTCATCATGTTGATCGTCGGGGTCATCATGATCATCATGATCATGACGATGATCATCATGGTCATCATGTTGGTCATCGTGGTCATGTTGATCGTCGGGGTCATCATGATCATGATCATCAACAGGTTTGATGCTTTCAACCCTTTCTCTGCTCTCGTTTTCTTTGCTTTCCTCAGACTGGCCCCCAGAGGCTCTCTGTGTTGCTTGTGTGACTGAGTCGCCGGTGAAGGGAGGTACCTCCTCCTGGAAAGCCTCAGAAGGGAACCAGAACATGTGTTTTTGGGAGAGAAGAGATACAGGCTCCTTTGTGGCTTCAGCTGCACCAACTTGGACCAACTTGTCCCTGTCCTGTGCAAACCTTGGATGGATTGTGAAATCATCTTCTCTTTTTGCTATGTCCTCCACAATTCCTTCAAAGGTTCTACTGTTGTTGATCACCTTTGGCCCAGAGTTGTGCACCTCCAGCTGATCCTTGTGATCGTCCCCTATGTTTACCCAAAATCTTGTCTCCTGCTGTTGGAGAATCCTCTTCCCATTCTCAAATGTGTCACCAAATACCTCTTCATGACTGTCATGATTGTGATCTGTCTTTTCAAAGGAATCTTCAAAGTTATCTTCATAATCTAAATGGGTTTCCGCTGCATCTAAAAATAAAATGACAAAAAATAAATAAAAAATTAAAGCTAAATCACAATAATGTTAGCATTTTAGATGCTAGATTTAATGTTAGCATTGTACATGAATATCTCCGCCAAGAATTATGTTTTTAGGAGTTTGTGTGTGTCTGTCTGTCTGTCCGTCTGTGTACAGAATTACTTGAAAAGTTAAATTGGTTAATTTTTTTTTTTAACCAAATGTTCACCTCAGTCAAAGGAACAACCCCTTAAATTTAGGTGATGATCCACATCATAATCCGGATGCAGGATTTTTTTTTAAGGATTCTTCAAGATTATTTGGCAGAACAAGCAGTTCCCCCCCAAACCTGATGGTGGCAGCAGTGACTATTACTTTTTTGACTATTACTAAAAAGTAAGGATGTATTATACTTAAGACACAAACACAGGAAAGGTGAGCAATGACTCACTTGAAGATCTGCTGCAACTTCGAATGTCACTACATGAAGGTGAGAGCAGAACAGACACCAGAGGCTGCAGACACATTCTGTGCCTTATTTATAAACTTACAAAAGAATTTTTGATGAAAATGTTACCAAATGGGAACATCATACCAAGAAACCATTCAGTAAAACTAGGTAATGATTGAGGTCATGTGCGAGTTTTAGCTACTGATGTAAGTCACAATATGGGGGAAAAAGTGCCGCTTAGCAGAGGTCTGCAATCTCAGACTGTTTTTTAGTTTTTATATTTTCTTTTTAATTAATTTATTGCATCAAAAAATATAAATTTTGTTGCCCCAATTAAGAAATTTATTGAAGGTTAATTTAGACAAAGTATAGCAGTTTAACTGAAGAAAAAGGATATGTTTGTTCACATAGATTTTTACATTATGTACTTTATGGAAGTTTTCAGCAGCACCATAAGGCAGGTAATGTGGATCATAAATAATTTAGAAGTGTTTGTGATTGTTCTTTTTGCCATTTGTCAGTCGTAAATCTCCTTGCAAACCTCTTATATTTGCATTAGACAAGTTGATAAAAACACAGCAAACTGACAGACCTAAAAGACCAATCCGTCTGGTTAAGGGGAAAACTTTTATTAGACCTTTTTTCTCTGTTACCATGGCCCCCATCATGGCATGTCACACTGAGGTGTCAAAGAAGATATTATCATCACTTCTCATATTGTTTTTTTCCCCCCAGTAGATAATAAAACTTTCAAAACTTTAAACAAATAAACTATTTAAATTTTTTCCTGCTTCTTGACATTTTTTTTTTTACCTTTAACACAGATCTGCACAGTCCCGTACCACTCCCCACAGCTGTCACACAGCAGGCTGAAGGAGGTATGACCACTGGGCATCATGTAACCGGGCGCACACATATACAGAAGCTCGTCTCCCATCTCAGACCCTGAGTGATCTTGCAGACGAGCATAGGGGAAGGATGGAGGGTCTCCACAAGCCGCAACTATTAACAACAAACAGACAGATGCTTGTGATACTAAAGTAAAGCCTCTGACTAATGTCACCACCTTTCTCTGAAATTAGTATTAGGATTAAATCAATTGTAGTTCATTTAATGGAAAAATAGGATTGATACAATTCATACAATTAACAAATCTAATAGGGATAAAACAAACTATTGTTTACATTATGTAATGGTTAGATTCTTTAAAAAAAAAAGATGCATCTATCCAAAATGAAAGAACAAAAAAGGATTTATTCTTTTGAGAATGGCAGATGATTTCATTCAACTGCAGCAGAAGGCTGGAAGGAAGTACGCCCAAATGGGGTATTACAGTAGATTGAGGAAGAGAGGGGCTGACAGGGCTACTAAAATGTAGACTGGTTTGTGCTGCAAAAATTAAGAACTATAAGAGATGATGTATTTCAATACACAAAACAACTAGAAATTTGACCTTTGTGAAAAGTGAAATTATATGAGTTTTGAATGAGTGTTTAGTGTCAAGGCAAAACATTCACTAAGCTGTTGAAAGAGGAAGTCTTAGGGAGAGAATCTGGCTGTGGTATGTTTCTTTAAAAAAATTATACATTTAGGTTTGCTTATCTTTAAACTTTAGTGAAGACTAGAAAAGCACCCTTGGCAAAGATTATTTTCTAACACTAGAAATGAATTAGCATTCCAAACCTTTGTCTTTTATGCAGAAGGCACTTAGATGTGCAGTTTCTTCTGTAGCATTTTCCGTCTTCACATCAACTGCTTTAAGTGAGCTCCCATCAGTGTTACAAACTGTGGTCCTGTAAACAGACACAAAGATGACATCAGAACTACTCACTCCACTAGACAGACAGAATGTAAATAAAGTATATTACAGAAAACTGTGAAAATATATGGGAAAGAAAAAGTGGTAAAACCTTGACATATGTACAAAACCAAAAAGCTTGTTTTTCAGAAAAAAAAACCTGGTGTGGTAGAAGTAAGTTGTATTTAAAGTACGAATTCTGATGCATGAGAATAGGCTGAGTGGTATTTTAAAATAGGAACATACCTAAAAATAATGACAATTTCAAACTGTCTGTTAGTTACCTGATGCAGGTATCTGGTGGAAAACAAGGAAAGCTCAAACCAAGATAGCAGGCAGTGATCTAGAACAACTAACTTACCGAATATTATAGTGCAATTCAAGTTTGATTAAAATTGGATAGATTAAAACGAATACGAATTTTAATAAAAAGAGTGTCCTTGTCTCCCTTTGCATTTTATTGTATGTTTTTCATGATAAATTCCTGAATGAATTTCTAAATGGTTCCCCAACTTTGTCATTACATTGTCATTACTTGACAATATTCTGGGCATTCCTTTCAACTCTTTCTATCATATTGTTTTGTTTCACAATACTGACCCAAATTGTGTTTTTATGCACAGCCATTAAAATGAAGCTATAGTAGAAAAATAAATCAGTCACAAGTTTGTTTGAATTTACACGTCTAGTCAAAGGAGGGTAACTGTAGTACCTGGTTTGTTGTATTTGTTTGTACTGTATCTGGTTTTATTATTGATTCTCTTTAGAATGAGGATGTTCCTTTTCCGGCTGGATCATAAACATAAGTGGTCCTCCTAATTGTCAATCATTTTGATGATGTTTTTACGTAAGGCCAGCCAACATGCTCGTCCCCATTTTCACTTACCAGTGGTGAGTCTGACATTGTGGAAAAATTGCAAATCTTCTCTTGGAAGGTAAGTAAGTAAGTATGGGCGATGCAAACAGTACTTTTAAACAGAGCATTCACAAGGAGAAATGGGCCTGTGCATGCTCTCGCACGCGCTTAATAGGCATTCCCTCTCGGAAGTGGGTACAGGGTTGTGCATGTGCATTTTTTTAAGTGGAAGGGGAGGGTCTTTTAAAAAATTCATTAAAAAAATCCACCACTATATTGTTAATGATTTATAATCAAATCTATTGGAGATTAAAACCTTAGTTGTGTAGACGCCTCCTTTTTGTTGCTATCTTAAACCACCATGGTAGCAGAAGACAGATTGACCATCTGCTGATGTATTCCATCAGGTTTTAGTGCTGCTATGTGATTTTAACCCTGGATCAACTGGGTGTTATTGTTTTAATAAAACTAGGCACTGAGAATCAACAGCACATGGCACCCAAACATCAAACTTCAGCAGAATATAATTCTAAATTTAGAAAGGTGTTTATTAATTCTGGCACTACTGTACTGATGGATAGTCAGGTCTGGGGCTTCTGACTTAAAAAAAGGAAAGATGGTGAAAGCTGAAGATATGAAGAGAGCGGGGGAACAGATTCCTTTTTTGTGCTAATTAGACATTAGTACAATATAAATAAATAATTGTTGTTTTTTATATGCACCACCATTTTTAAATCAAGATGATTCAGGATAATGTGTCATGGCACTCTCAAAAACAACATAGTATAAATAAACCATTATTTTTAAACCTTTAACTACTCTAAGTGGCCTGCTTTGGCAGGAATAACAGCTAAACATATTCATGGCGGTCTTTCTACAATAGGAATTGTTTCAGATTTTTTTCCCCCCAAAACCTATTGCAGAAATTCCCATAAATTTGTGGCACTTGTAGGTCCCCTTGCTTTTACTCTGATGTCTAGTTGACTTATGATTTGCATCATTACCAGAGGTTATTGCATAGCACTGCAGAACATTGTGGTAGATCAGGATGCCTATGCACAAGTCACCCACTTTAAATACACCAAAAAGCCCCTCCCCATCACAATTGTTTGACATTTGATGTAACATACTGCCTTAACTTTCCTTGCAATATTACTGTGGGGAAGACCTAATATATTTTGAGAGCTATTATAGTCTTTCTGTCTTTTATTACTAGATGCCATTTTTCTGGCCATTTCTATAGCAATGCTAGCAACTTTCTGTAGTATAACACAGTTAATCTGATGCTCACTAATTTTTGGTACTCAATGTGTACAAACACCACTTTCATGCAGACAGAGGAGGTTGTAAGGAAAATTTGCAAAAACTATAGTTGGTCCTGCTTTCAAGGCATCATCAACCTATGTTTAATCATTAATCTGTTTTGCATTTCCAAATAAAGGCTTTTTTTTTTTGTAATGTTGAAAGCTACCTCTTAGAGATCAGCAGTTACCTTTATGGCAATTAAGCTTATCATTAGACTTGTTAATCTTCTTTCAGTTGCTCCCTTATGCCAGGTTCGCATGGAATAGAGTTCAAATCCCAGTTCCCATACATAACATTCAATGACTTTAACCATCTTACATTGGACTCATATGAGTAAGGTTATCTTTTTCTCAAAATTTTATTTGTAGGATCACTTTAAGTGTTTGTGATGGCATGGTAATTAGGCGTAAAATTGGCCTGGTTTTCTAGAAGTCTTTATTGCCAGTAAGCAAAATATACAAGAATGATAACAACCAATATCAAAGGTTAAATAAGAATATCTAGAAAATGGCAACAGTATCAACAGTAAAAAGCTGCATTCACATTCTGATTAAAAAATGCCGTTAATGTTTGGCTACATGTCCCAGATGGTTAAATTCACTCCTATATAAGTCCCAGATATTGCATTAAATGCCCTCTGCTAAATAGAAGGTGCTTGTAGTTTAGGTTACGTCAAAAGTAAGTAAAGGACCCTCATATAAAATAAACCTTAACAGCTTAATACTGGATGTTGTGCCTATTGGTGGCTGTGATAAGTTCTACTGTAGCTCTGTTGTTTTTTATCCCACTGTTATAGAATATAACAGACAGCCTGCAGTTCTTAAATGGAAATAATCTTCTCACTTCTGACACTAACTTCTTAACTGGCCTGATGCCTGAAACACTTGCTCTGCGATTCTACAGCTTAAAGTCCAGCCTCTCATAAATTCTGGTTTGTGCTAGTGAGATGATCTAGTTTTGCCCTTAAAATAAGTAAATAAATTCCCTTGAATGAGACCATGCAAAGCCTGCAATGTGTATTTGTCTGTAAGGATTTGTCGCCGCATAAGTGAGATTTCCTGTCTATTTAACTACCATTCTACAATATTAAAGCTGTACATCTTAAACTTAAAGGCATACAACACATTTACCTGGAAATATAGAGGTAGGCATAGCATAACAAGTAACATTAGACAATATTGGATTGAAAAAGCTCTGGAGATTTCAATCCCTGCCTAAATGTTTTCCTTATATAGAATTTCACGGAAAAAGAATATTCATCTGGATGAAGTTGTTTAACTAACATACTACAGCTACTTTCTCCAATTTATTTAGGTGTTGGGTTTTAGGTTTTCCATCAAAGGAAAAAACCCAACAGCCAATGTTTCCAACTGTTTCCAACAGCCAATGTTTCTCATGAAACATTGGCTGTTTTCTGTATTATGTTTTTCCAATCTGCAATAAAGATGTCTGCCATCACTCTAACGCCACGCTGTGTGGGTTCTTCCCATTTCGTTGCATCACCCTAGAGCCACTGCGATCCGGCCACTTTTGGTGATTAGGCTCTTCTTTAGGAAGGCTAAACAAAATCTGAGATCACTCACCCAAAACACACTTTCAGGACTTAGAAATTAACTTAAATAAGAACAGTTGCTGTCCTTTTGCCAAGTAGGTGCTAAAAAAGGCACCTTATTTCAACTTTGAGCAAAAATGATTGCACTCTGATCGGAGAAAGTGGGTGTGGTGTTTACAGGGCAGAGGCGAGGTATGTGTTTCCTGGAGGGGCCGTTGTTTTCCAGGACAGGGACGGGTATAATTCCTATAGATTACTAAAACATGCATGAATCAACCAAAGTACTGCTGTGGGCATATTTATGATATAGGAAAATCAGACAAAAACTACGGCAGTTTGGGCTTCCTCTTTTATCCTCACCTAAATCACACACTGTCAACCATCCATCATTGTGCTCGTCTCTCCCCTAAATCAAACACACTTCTCTCTCTGTCCCTTGGGGAATAAAAGCAGCATCTCATGTTGCTGTGGAGATGAGGGGCGTAAATGGAGTCAGTTGTCGACATGACACCCCGGCTCAGAATTCCCTCATCCCTCAGGAGGAGACAGAGGAGCCTTTTTCCCTGTTATGCTCTCTGCTTTTTCTCTCCCCTACCTGAAATGTGTCACTTTTGTATCTTCCCACACTTGCTAAAACGGATCCCCTTTTCTCTTTCATCCACTCTTGTAACCTCTGTCACACATGTATAGGCGCTCACACTTACAGTGACCTTTGACCATCTCCAGAAAGCCCCTTAGAAGTGGGAAGATAAATGCTTATTTTCTTACCCCACTGTGGCTCCATAAAGCCATCCACGGGTACAGTGAGAGAAGAAGCACCCCACCACAGCTTGACGGAGCTCCTCCGCTGATGCCAAACGGGCATGTTGTGAGGCACACGCCTGCTCAGCTTCCCTGAAGCCCTGCAAGTTCCTCAGGCTCAAGATGAACACTCGACCTGTGGAGAGACGAAGCAAAGCATCATTCAAAGGGAGGCCTGAGAAGAGAGCTATAATTATCTCAGCTAATTAATCTAAAACTGAGAGATGTAAGAGATTACAGGGGTTTTAACTAACTCTAAACTCTAATGGGGTTGAAATGATTTTTAACATAAAAAAAACCTGCAGATGATTAAATCTAATCAGCTAAAGTATTTTTGTGTATCATATTTACAAAATCTGTCGAAAATCTGTTGAAATATTCTATCCATATTTTATTTCTTTTTTATAGAATTATTTTGCTTTGTAAAAATATAGTCAATGGTTACAGTTAGTAACCAGAACATAATCTAAATGAGACCCATTCAGTTTTTCAAAATATTATTTTCCTTATATTCTTTTAAGAAGGGTGATCTTTTCATCTTGTCGACTAAGAAAATAGAAAAATAAAGAATTAAAACAAATTGAGTAAATAAATCGAGCCGATTCCATATCTAACAAATTGGTTGTCTAATCTCCTAACCTTGGTTTTGTCTAATAGTAAAAGTTGGAAACAATGAGGTAAAACAACCATTACTTTCAGTAAGAAAGCAGAGCGAAAATGTGACATGTTGGGTTGCAGGTCTTTCTAAAAAAAAAAAAAAACTTTTAATACTTGTAATGCTCCAATCTGATTGGTTAAGTCCTCTTCTGATAACAACCATTACAGCCGGAAGCATTTCCTTTAACTTTCCACAGTGAAATAAAATGCACCCAACTTTGGAGTTAGCTGAGAAGCTTTTGCAATCATCACTCTGCCCCTGATGGATCAGTTATCATACGTTGTCCAGGTCTTGGGGAATCCGCATGCATGTTCTCTCTGAGCATGTGTGGGTTCTCTCCAGGTACTCTGGCTTCCTCCCACAGTCCAAAAACATGACTGTTAGGTTAATTGGCTTCTGTAAATTCTCCTTAGGTGTGAGAATGGTTGTTTGTCCCATTTGTCTCTGATGGACAGGCGACCTGTCCAGGGTGTACCCTGCCTCTCGCCCATAGACAGCTGGAATTAAAATGGATGTATTTCTTCTTTTGAATTTTACCATTAATGTCATGATTGCCCAATTTCATGTTGTTAAATCATGAACAATGACCTTAGCTTGTAGTGACCTGGATGTTGCTAAGGTTTCTTCTATGATCTCTCGATAAAGTTGTTGTACTCTTGGAGGAGTTTAGGAAAACTCAGTCATCTAAAGGTTTCCCAACTGTTTTTGTGTTGTTTAAAATGACTCTCTTTGTAGTTAGCTGGACAACCAAAGTCTTTTAAATGACTGATAGGTGTAAATCACTTGATTTCAGACCAGTTCTCTTTACACTGAATCATGATGTTTTACTTTATGACATTTCTCAGTCTGCTTGATGCTGTCAGACAAATTTTTTTGGACTGATCTTGTGATAAGAGGTCAGATCCTGGGTTGGCCGGAGAAATGAAAGCAGTCAGTTATTTAAGCGTTTATCAAAAGAGACACTTATGTTTTCTCAAAGAGCTATATAGCTACAAAGGTATATTATATAAATAAATTTAGCAAAAGTTAAGAGCTATCATAAGGCTTGTGCCTCAGAAAGGCTTGCATGATTAAACATAAGCTTTATCTAGTTTGGCAAAGGAGGGCCTAAAGTAACACTGTTGGTCCTGGGATTGATCCCTGGAATTGTTCTGCATGCATGCATGCATGCATGCATTGGCGTTCTCCAGATCCTCTCGCCTCCTCCCACAGTTTCAAGACATGACTATGTTAATAGATTCTAAATTGCCCTTAGGTGTGACTGTATTTGTGCATGGTTCTATGTCTTTATGTTGTCCTGAAAAGGACTTGTGACATTCAAGGTGTACACCGCTTTTTACCCAAAGTCTGCTGGAGATAGGTGTTGTTTTTAATTCTAGCTGTTCGCTTTTAAAATGGAACAAACTAATAATTTGCATGAGCAAATTTGATCACTTTGATATTTTTTTGGCAGTAACTTAAAATTATGTTTGAAAACTGCTTTAAAAAGACTTGCATTTGTTTTTTGTTTTTTAAATGTTATTTATTAATCAACAATAAAGCTTGAAAATCTTAACTTACCTTCTGCTTTCACAACAGAGGTCAAAACAAGAAAAGTCAGGCATCCACAAAGCAAAGACTGAAGTCTTTGGTTAGAACAAGAAATCATATTTTTCTGTCCTTGTCTCTTTTATATGTCTTTGCTTTAAAAAAGATACAGAAAACTTCCAGATGTGTTCACAAACAGGCTGGAGAAGCAGGTTGTTTCTCTTTGTTCTGTTGCAAAAATCAAAACCGAGCGTCTATCAGCAAGGATGCTGATGGCAGAACAGAAAACGACTCAGGATTCAGAAGGCGCAGCTTATCTTCCCCAAATAGTCGCACTGGCAAGCAGATAAAGCACCTGTGTGAAAAATCACGTCCTCCCGTCAGTAAATACGTCACAGCTCAAACTGTTCAGGGTGGGCAGAGGGAGGTGAGCAGGACTGGTAGAGAGACAAGGGTTTGGGTTAATTACCCTTTTATAGCCAAACTATAATAGAACAAATAAAGAAAAAGGAAGATAATTTCTTTCCCTTATAAAAATCATAGAAACGTCAACAAAAAAACTAAGGAAATCTGTTATTCATGAAGTGTGAAATTGTAGGACAAAAGTTAGGTGCTCCAGTTTTGCCCTTAAAATAAGAAAAAAAGATATAAATATATATTTTTTATTTTCTCGTAAAGTACTTTTGGAGATATTTATACATTTTAAAAGAATTTCTAAATAACAAATACAATTAATTTCCTTTTGGGATTAATAAAGTGCTTTTCAATTGAACTGAAATGAATTTACCCTGCAGTACATGGTAACATCAAATTAATAGTTACAAGGAGAAAGAATGTTAAAAAGGTTAGTAAAATGCTTTATGATACCATCAGTTGTAGTGAAATAGATTCAATAGTGTTAAAAGTGCAGAACATTGTTTATGATCAAATACTGAGTAATTAAAAAGCATCCAACACAAAGTATTCGCTTCTGAACTTTGTGAAAGAAGGACATCTAATTCACGTTATTGAATGGTTAATTTCCTTGTCTAATTAAATATATATATATATATATATATATATATATATATATATATATATATATATATATATATATATATATATATATATAATAAAAACCCAAAGACAAATAAATGGATAATTAATTAAAAAGATGTCTTTTTAAAGAGAAGTGTATCTAAACAAGTTGGTGGAAGGCAGGATGGAAGGAGAAGGTGCAGCTGAAGTCAGAGCTTCAAGAGCACACAGGTGCTTTCAGGACAGAGGCTGCAATCCCTTGTGTCAGGCAGCGACAACAGCAGTATCCACAGATTAGGACAAAAACCTGGACTGTCACTCAGAGCTCCAAACTCCCTTTTTCAGATGGAGGTAAAAGTTCTATTTCATTTGGCAATTAAATCAAAAATTGTCTTGGGAAACAGTGGAGAGGCAGACTAATAGATCTCCAGATCCCTTCCATGCCAAGCTCCATTGATATTAGTCCAGTTGATCATTAAAAAGTAGCCTTTTGCAGCTATTGGCTGTTTAATAGATCCCCTTTTGTTCATAAATACGGGTTTTAAACCAACGCTAATATAAATCCAAAATATGGATTTACATTAGCGAACCTGAACCTGAATATGAACTAACCTGAATATGTGTAACAAATGGCCTCATGGTTTATGTTAAAAACAGGAAACATAAACTAAGTGAAGTTCAAGTGAAAATACTGCAGAGTGTGGTGTAAGTAAGGTCAGTCATGTCAGTGTGAATGACTGAACATGCTGAACGCAAATGTTTTGTGTTAAAGCAAACTAACCAAACACAGGCGGGCCCCAACAGAAGGAGGAGGGAGGGAGAGGCTGGAGCACAGATCCCAGAACTTTTAGAAAGGTGTGATCAAATCCCAAGTGTTCCGAGTTCTGCTGCTGCAGTCCGCATATTCAGATCCATTGCTGTAGTCACAAGCAATTCCTATAGGCCTTCACCAACATCACCTATGGGAATAAAAAAAAATATATATTTATTTTTTTTTATCCCTCTCAGAGCTGATTCAGCCATTTTTGATGCAGTCAAAAACTCAAATGGGACGCTTGCTGTTCCGAGAATATTAGTTACGCTCCCTTTCCGTATCAGAAAAGCCTCTTTATTGTTCAACTTTTAAAACTCCTCTAAAAAAAAAAAACATTTCTACTTCTTGACTTTCATCTCAACCTGATACTTTGTAGTTTTACTTCTGTTTTTATTGTTTTATTAATATTTTAGGAAAAAGGTGGCTTGTCCCCTTCAGGTTGGAGGAGAGTCCCTGCCTCAAGTGGAGGAGTTCAAGTATCTTGGGGTCCTGTTCACGAGTGAGGGAAGAATGGAGCGGGAGATCGATAGATGGATCGGTGCGGCTGCTGCAATAATGCGGACGCTGCACCGGTCTGTCGTGGTGAAGAGAGAGCTGAGCGAAAAGGCAAAGCTCTCAATTTACCGTTCGGTCTACGTTTCTACCCTCACCTATGGTCATGAAATTTGGATCATGACCGAAAGAACGAGATCCCGGATACAAGCGGCTGAAATGAGCTTCCTCCGCAGGGTGGCTGGGCTCTCCCTTAGAGATAGGGTGAGGAGCTCGGTCATTCGGGAGAGGCTCAGTGTAGAGCCAGTTCTCCTCCACATCGAGAGGAGTCAGTTGAGGTGGCTCGGACATCTTCTTCGGATGCCCCCTGGACGCCTCCCTCGGGAGGTGTTCCAGGCACGTCCCACTGGGAGGAGGCCCAGGGGACGACCCAGGACACGCTGGAGAGACTACGTCTCTCGGCTGGCCTGGGAGCGCCTAGGGCTTCCCCCAGCAGAGCTGGAGGAGGTGTCTGCGGAGAGGGAAGTCTGGGAGTCTCTGCTTAGTCTGCTGCCCCCGCGACCCGGTTCCGGATAAAGCGGGAGACGACGAGTATGAGTAATATTTTAGCTGTTTTTTAACTGTTCTCATACGTCTTTCGCTGTTTTATGTTCTAAATGTTTCTTGGTTTTATGTGTAACTACAGCTCTCTGTTGCAGCTGTGGTGGGGTTTTTTTAAGCTCTTTATAAATAATAGCAATGGTTATACCAATGGCACGTAAACCTAATTAGACGCAACTTTGTGAAAAATCTATGTGTGTATGTGAGCCACCTTGCATCCTATAAGGCCAAAAAGTGTTAAAGCTTTTTTTTTTTTTTGTTGGATTTTGGTTGGAAACTAAGACGCCTTAAGAAATACACTTCAAAAACCGAGTTAAAGCAAAGCATTCTTATAAAACAATACATCTTTGTCATATCACATTTTCATGTGTTTTTTACTGGCACTGTGTGTCTCATTTAGTTGGGGGATAAAAACGAAGGACTTCAGCCTTCATAGACGTTTCAGGCATTGTTTCAGAGAACCTGCAGGTAAAGATAACAGCGCCCAAACATGCAGGATGCACCCTCGTAAACCTATATTTAGCCCCTTTACAACCCATTAAACATAACATAGGTGAAGTAAAAGGGTTTCATATAGGATGAATGCTCTTCTATGATCATTTATTTAGAATTTAGTACCAGTGTTTTTAATTCTACTCTTTAGAAAAATATATTTGTGTTTTTACAGTCGGGAAATTCAGTTGTGACAGAAAAGAAAATGTGAAAATAGAGAATCAACAGACAGTTAATTTAATAATGTGAACATATGTCAATTTGGTCATTAAAATATGCATTGTTTAACATCCATAAGACACATATGCCGACTAGAAACAGTGCAAATAAATGTTTATTAACCCTAGAACCTGTGCAACCATTACCATGATTGTAAACACTATTGAGCCTCTTTGGAGCTGAAAAGATTACAGGGTCTAACAGCAACTGGAGAATGTTCTTCTATCCATATGGGATTCAAAACTCAGTCACTGAAGGAACGTTCCAGCTCTGCAAAAGCACTATGCATGGGATGGTGGTTCTGGATGAATTTAACCAGGCCTAAAACTCCTAAAGTGGTATTAGGGACAAATCAGTCAACACATACCATCATAACAAACAGATTTAGTATAACGCTGGAGAAAAAAATCTAAAAAAGCAAAAGCAAAAATAAAAATAAAAAATAATTGGATTTGCTCTTAATTTGAGCATGTAAAGATGATCAGCCAAAGGAAGGAGAACTTTGGCCCTATAAACAAAATAATTTATGCTAGAATAGAATAGAAAATCCCTTCATTGTCCCACACTGGGGAAATCGTGGTAGCAAAGGTTATAGTAGAAGTGGTCACACAATCTGCACCTTAGAAAAGTGTATAAAAATAACAGATAGAAAAATAAACCAAATAAAATACTATACTGTACACTATATAGTGTTTTACAATATAATAATCTGGAGAATAAAAAATCAATAAAAGCTTTGGACATTTTCAAAGTAATGGATATGTGAAAAATAGCAACGCTGGAGATGTGCAAAATAAAATGACATCTGCATGTTAAATGACTAAGACAGAAACTGTGCAAAAATCTGCATCAATGTAACAACTTATTGAGGTTGTTGGAAACAGTGGTGGTTCCCAACAACTGTTGCTGGGAGGAAGGATCTGTGATAATGTTCCATGATGCATTTAGGGTGCAGCAGTCTGTCACTGAATGAGCTCCCCAGTTCAGCAACAGCTTCATTCATTCACTTTAAGCAAGATAATAGTCCTTTTTTCTTTTTTGACTATACATCATATTATTCCATCTGCAAATTGTCTTACCTTTCAGATTATATACATCAATTTCAAGAAACAATGACTTACCTTTAAATGCATGCAGTTTATGTTTTCAGTGTAGGGGTTATAACGGGGCCAGGACAAGTTTTATAGGGACACAGGCCCCTTTTGGGTCCTGTCTAGAACCACCCGTGGAGACATTGTTCAACAGCAATCTTACTGTTGTCTTTTGTATTTTTTTACAGTCCTCATATCTCCCTCCACCTGCACTGTATAGGGCATCAAGAGACAGAGCTGGTCTTTCTAATAAACTTTACTAACTATGTCCTCTTTGGTTCAGATAAGCTGCTGCTCCAACTTACCACAACTTAAAAGATGGCACCACCAAGTGAAAGAAGATCAACATATACAGTTTGAAGATCTGCAAATCTGGTATTGACCTCACGCAGCTGGTGACTAAGAATCAAAACACATTTTGATTTGTATTCGTAAAACATTTTGAAATCCTTTTCCAAAATTTGAAAAAGTTCCAAGGTTGTGAATATTTTTTATAAAGTTCTACATTAATCAAACAAAAACAAAACTTTC